CAGGAGCAGAAAGGCTTAGCTCACCACTAAAATAAAAATTATGTCATCATTTACTCAGCCTTATGTCTTTTAAAAGGAGATTGTGCTGGCTGCTCTTCTTCAAACAATGAAAATGAATGGGGTAGGTGCTGTTGAACTCCAAAATGACCAAAAAGCAATATAAAATGATGTAATGTACTATATATTGCAATCAAAAAATTTAAATAATTAAGATTCTGTAAATGTTTTGACAAGTCTCATGCTCACAATGTCTGAATTATTAGACCGGAAATACAATAAAAACAGTAATATTGTGAAATATTATTACAATTTAAAATAACTATTTTAAAATGTATTTTATTGCTGTGATGCAAAGCTAGATTTTCAGCATCATTACTCCAGTCTTCAGTGTCACATGATCCTTCAGAAATCATTCTAATATGCTAATATGCTGATTAAGAAACATTTATTATTATTATCAATGTTAGTAACTGTTTTGCTGCTTAATATTTTTTTTGTGGAAAGTTAGACTGCTATTCAAAAGTTTAGGGTAAAAAACAGGAAATGAATACTTTTATTTAGCAAGGACATGTTGATCGATCAAAAGTGACAGTAAAGGCATTTATAATGTTACAAAAGCTTTCTATTTCAAATAAATGCTGTTCTTTTGAACTTTCTATTCATGCTGAAAAAAACAACAACAGCAAATCATCATCATAGAATGATTTCTGAAGGATCGTGTGACACTGAAGACTGGAGTAATGATGATGAAAATTCAGCTTTGCGTTTTAAAATATACTCAAATAGTTAAGTTATTATTTAATTTAAGTTATATATTTTATTTGATAATACAGTAGTCAACATTTGAAGTGGATCAAAACCTTTCATCAAAGTTCACCAAAATGCGTTCTTGTCTTAGGACAACTTTGATGAACTTTTTTGATCCACTTCAAATGTTGATTATGTATTTCACAATATTAACATTTAACTGCATTTTTGATCAAATAAATGCAGCTTTGGTGAGCATAAGGGACATTTTAAAAACATTTAAAAATGTTCATTATTCGATTGATTTGGACTAGTAGTGTATATCAAGTCATCTGAAGTCTTTGTAACAACCCACAACACTTTGCCATACAGCAGAATCTGCACTTAAAGCAGCACTATGTAGCTTTTGGCGCTCTAGCGGTTAATAAACAGGTATGTGTTACTCCGCAGCGGTGACGACCCAACCAGGCTACAATAGTCCAAATATAAGTACTTCTTATAAGTGTACCGTAGTGATTCGGAATAAGACAAAAACGCGGGTTGGAAGATGAATTCATGATGTATTCGCTCATTATATACATTTTGCACATTTTGAACACAGAAAAAGTTACATAGTGCTGCTTTAACATGTCAATTCATCTAGACTGTATGTTTCCAAACTTTAAGGAACCCGCTCAGGCCCTAAATAAGAGAAATCTTTTGTCTAAAAGCCAAAGTCAAGTCACACGCTGTCCATCCTCACAGTTTAAACATAATCCAAAGAGCCTCTGGCATTCAGACATCAAAGAAATGGCTCAAACGTGAACTTTTCCTGGATTCTCCGTAAGGAACAGATGGCTGCTGCTTTACTGAAAGCTGTTTCAAAGGGTCTTTTAAGAATGTACACACGATAATAGAAATTTGACACTCTTATAAATGCAACGCAATTATATAACGCTGAGATAATGTTATCTTCATCCTTTTTAAGATGAATGTTTTATTACTGCAAAGAATCTCATGTCTGAGAAACTCAAGCTGTGACAGATTTGAAAACTATGGCTTACTTAAAGATGAATTCATGAGTTCCAATTTGAAGTGTTTTAATCTTAAACTAGATTAAGAACCAGTTTCAACCATCACAGGCACTATAATATTATTATAATGCTTTATACAATAACACCAACAATGAATTATGTGTAAGAATATGTTATCTTGTTGTTGTTACTGAGTATATCCGTCATATATATATATTTGTACTTTATCCACCAAATATTGATCCGTGTCATTCAATCCAAAACCTTACTTTGTTATGCAGAAAAAAAAAAAAATGGACAACACTAAAAATGCAACCAATAACATCTTTCTATAGGCCATAAGATATCTACATAAACATATTGGGGTCAATCTTAAAGGAACACTCCTTGATTATTACGCTGGAATGAGAGTATAGTTCCTAGCCATATCGGCCTAGAAAATCGCAACTTTTCATTTTCCGTCGGTCTTAGTACACGATGTAACTACAGAAGAGTCAAGTTTTAAATAGGAAAAATATCTAAACTCTTTGGTCATTTTTGAGCGAGATGCTAACGGTCTAATCAGATTCAATGATCTATGCTAAGCTACAGCTAAAAGTGCTACCGCCAGACCCGGAGATCGGCTGAATGGATTCGAAAATGGTAAAACTCAACTGTTTAACTCTAGGGGAGTTGGAAAATGAGCCTATTTTCAAAAATAGTGGAGTGTTCCTTTAAGAAAAGAAACATGCTGAAACCTCAAAATGTGATATTAAGCACATTTATTACAATTCTTCTTCATCTGAATTTTATGGCAACATCTGTGCTAAGTTAAACAGCTATTTTTGTTCACTGATCAACTTTAATCAAACATAGTTTTATAGTAAATTGAGAAAATATGAGCAATACGGCAAGGAAAGTGAGCAAGGAAAATCCTCATAGGAGATTGCACAAATAGTATACTGCACATAATTAGTTAGTTATAGTAATATAATTTTATTTGTTCATAAATAACAAAATGATGGTTTGTTTCTTGTGTTCAGAAGAATAATAAAAAAGATTAAGAATGATATACCTATATATAATATATTTAAATTAAATTTTTCGAAATTGAGATTTCCGATTGAGCCGAATAAATAAGCTTTCCATTGATGTATGGTTTGTTAGGATAGGACAATATTTGGCCGAGATACAACTATTTGAAAATCTGGAATCTGAGGGTGCAAAAAAAATCGAAATATTGAGAAAATCGCCTTTAAAGCTGTCCAAATGAAGTGCTTAGCAATGCATATTACTAATCAAAAATTAAGTTTTAATATATTTACGGTAGGAAATTTACAAAATATCTTCATGGAACATGATCTTTACTTAATATCCTAATGATTTTTGGCATAAAAGAAAAATTGATAATTTTGACCCATACCAATGTATTTTTGGCTATTGCTACAAATATACCCCAGCAACTTAAGAATGGTTTTGTGCTCCAGGGTCACATATATGTATAAATCAAATAGGACAAATATTTCATTATTACAACAAGCATACCACAGAGGGTTAATGTTAAATATTTATTATTAAATAAATATTTTAAATGACTAATTTCATATAAACCTACACAGAAATAGTTTGTGGGAAAATAAGAATGCTAATAGCATTTATGAGGAACATGTGGAGGACAGAACAGCGCATTATTTGAACATGAATCTGTTGGAGCATTCGGTAAACAGTGACAGATTTCTGTGTGCTGCACTGGCATCGACTTTCCTCCTGCACTCTGACACTAAAGAGACGAGCCTGACTGATGGACTGCAGAGACGCTGTAAACCCGCCATCTGTGCCATCAGAGACTGACTGAGAGAAAATGAGTCCCTGATCACTGCTAAACGCACAAGAGCGGGTCACGCGGGTCTTCAGTGCCACATAATCCTTCAGAAATCATTCTAATATGCTGATTTACTGCTCAAGTAACATTCATTGTCACTGCTGAAAACAGTTGTGCTGCTTAGTGTTTTTGTGGAAACTGATACATTTATGTATCAAGTGTTCTTTGAATAGAAAGGTAAAAAAACTGCATTTATGTAAAAAAAAGATTTTTTATTACATTATAAAAGTCTGTATTGTCATTGCTACATAAAAGTATTTCTTTGTCAGAAAAAAAAAAAAAAACTTGCTGACCCTAAACTTTTGAATCGGTGTATGGGTAATTTTTCATCCAGGATTAATAAAATAGATTATATTTTCCAAGAAAAAGAAACCTTTTTTTTTTTTTTTTGCATCATATCGTTTTTATGAAAAATTAAGCGCTTTTTTTTCCACACAAATTCACATGAATTTAATAGATCTGGACATTTATTTACTTATTTTTAGTAATTTTTTGCAGTTATTCTCAAGAGTGAGTATCATTATTAATAAAGTCATTTTTATAAAAACATGACTGACATGACATTACAAAACGAAAAAAATAAAAAATAAAATAAAATCGTTTCTATGAGCTTCACCTGACAGGCTTCGTGAGATTTGTCCTCATGCCAGCAGAAGGAAGTGAAAGAGGTAATAACTTTCAGAAACAGTAAGCTTGCATAAATGGCCCCCGGGGTCGTATGAAAGACGCTTGGGTCACAGCAGCAAAAAATTATATATATATATATTTAAAAAAAAAAACACTACAGTCACACTCAGCATGAACAGTCAAGAACAAAGCAAGCAAGCACAGGAAACTCCCCTCCAGAAAAAAAAGACCCACAAAACCACAGACACAACTTCCACAAGAGGACAAATGCTGTATTGTGTGAACTACAAAGACTACAGAGACTTTCCATGCACCATTCTGGAAGTTGTGGGATGAACGGGACGTCCCATTGGAGGACGCCTGATACTGCAGCTAAAAGCACAATGCCACGATACCGGCACACAACGACAAAACACTAGATGAAGAAGAGCAAGAGACTCAGTAATGCCACTGCTTCAGAAAGAACATTTCGAGGTCAATGGTAAATTTAGATTGATAGATCACGCAGAATTATGAGATATAAACTCAGATTTTTAAAGTCAGAACGGTGAAATATAAACTTGCAATTACCTTTATTTTTTATTCTGTGGCACAAATAAAAAAAGTGTCATATAAACTCAGAATTGTTAGATGTAAATACAGAATTGACAGAAACTCTGAACTCTGAAAGTCTTTTTTTTTTTTTAATCTGTGGCAGAAACGGGCTTCCATAACATACAATTAACACAAATAAAAACACTGCAGCATGAACGAGCCAAACTTTTAGCAAAATGCATTTATTAACGCATACATTAAATCATTTAATATTCAAAAAATAACTGATTATTTACAGGGCTCAATGTAAAGAAAGACTTGACTTAACTACATGTGAACTAAACAATCCCTGCCACATTATTATTTAAAAATACAAATCAAAACCGGGTCCATAAAAGGGAAAAACCAAGAGGTCTGTGCCGAGTACGATCAGTCCAATATCTCAATTTAGCAACGATCAGTCTTTGTGAGGGACGGTGCCGTGCTTCTACCAGGAACTGAAGTCTCCAAAACCTGTTCTGCCTTTGGGTTTCTTGGCAGGAGCTTCACTAGTGGAGGGTTTGTCACCATCTGGGTGGGAATGTTTCCTGATGAAGGAGAGTGAATAAGACATTAAAGTTAATTAGGTTTGTGTAATTGATTCAGTAGTGATTATGTGAGTCCAGTCTCAGCAGTTTGTCTGGCACGTTTCAGAGCACAGTGTTTTGTGAATCTGTCACAACATAAATGCAAGGCTTTGCAAAAAGGCTGTTACTGAATGAAACAGCAGCAAATCTGGAACTTGAATGTAATGAATGCTGTTACTCATCATTTCACATGCAATGAGTTTAGCCAATGACAATGGATGTCATTCACATACAGAGCTATTAAAGGTACAGTAGTCTGTTTAAATCTAAGGTTCATAAAAAGGGTGAAAATAAAATTCGACACTTTCAGTAGTAATTAGTCTTTTATAGTATCTTTAAAACAGTGTTAAACTACAATAAAATAAATGCCATACAATATTTTAAAAAGTAAATAAAAATACAAATGTAGAAACAAAAGAGTATAACTTAACTGAAAGAAGAAATACCTCAAATACAAAAAGTATACAAATATTAAAGGTGGGCTAAGTGATTTCTGGTAGCCAATGTTGACATTTAAAATCACCAAAACAAACACGCCCCTACCCCAAAAGGGTCTCGCCCCTATTTTGATAGCTCCGCCCCACACATACGTAAGCAACACAGGCAACGATTAGTTTTGTGAAACAAAGCAAAACCAATGTTACACCGTGTCTACACCGGATGCGAGCGGCGTGACAAAATACTATAGAACTCATTATAATCTGTGATGCTGTCTACACATATATAGATATATATACAAATATCTATGGTCTACACTGGATGCGGCACGACACGACAAATCCCCGACAGAAAACTGCTGCGTTCTATTCATGACGTATTTACACAAATTTCAAATGATTTTCAACGGTCGCTTTGTCGCGTCCAGTGTACTAGACAGACTTTAGCTGTTGTGGCACAGACACGGTGTTACTCACCTATCGAGAAGAAACAAAGCAACCTCGGCGTCCGATCGCAGGCCTTCCGCTCCTTGAGTTCTCTCCATCGCTGGAAAGCTGATCCGATATTTACACGAGCCCTACTACTTGCCTTATCGTAAGCCTTCTTTTGTTACGCAGACGGTTTCCTATTTTGTTTTTTATCTGCCATCTCTATCTTTCTGTCGTCGCTCGGCTCGGCTAATGTCCGTCCGGTGCACTGAACGCTCTCTCCTCCACATCATGAGTAGACACGCCCCTTACTGCTGATTGGCTACAAGTTTGTTTTGCTATTTGGCCCGAATCAGTTTTCTAAAGCGTTTTTGAAAAATCGCTTGCCCCACCTTTAAAAACCGAAAAACATGGCAGATTGATCTCATTTCCATGTATTTGCATTTATTAAACATTTTAAAACAAACAAAAAAAATTATCCTTTTATAATTTTTTTTACATATATTTTCTTTCTCATTTTCTAAATTCCTCTTATAGAATCTTAACTGGGTATATGGGTCATTTTTCATTCAAAATTAATAAAATAAATAGATTATATTTTGCAAGAAAAAGAAACCTATTTTTTTTTTGCATCATGTTTTTTTGAAAAATTAAGCAATTTTTTCCACAAAAATTCACACAAATTTAATTAATTTGTTTATTTATTTATTTAAGTTATTTTCAATGGTATCATTATTAATACAGTTATTTTATGTAAACATGATTAATTGACATGACATTAATTGACGATGTAATTCTTAGAATTGTTTTGAGCTCATTTAATTATCTGAACCCCATGTTTGTGTTTGTGTAAATAAGCAGTAAGTGAAAATGAATAACAAGCATATTTTTCATAATACTTGCATGCAGCATGTGCATGTGAAAAATGGCACTGTTCTCATCAGGTAGCAGTGCATGTGTGTGTGTAGCAGGTGTTCACATTACTGTGTATGTATGTTTATGTCTGTTTAACAGTCAGTTGTGTGTGTGTGAGAAGCAGTGGGGTTGTGAGGGATAATTAGAATGATCTCCTGCCTTTCTCAGTAAACACTGCTGATATCCTGAGTCCTGCTGTGGCGTGGGACGAACCCCTCACTAGTGACACCCACAAACACACTCATTTACCATCAGAGCAGCTTTATATAATAAAATAATGATCCTGCCATTATGAGATCTGTCTATCCATCCATCCTATCTATCTATCTATCTATCTATCTATCTATCTATCTATCTATCTATCTATCTATCTATCTATCTATCTATCTATCTATCTATCTATCTATCTATCTATCTATCTATCTATCTATCTATCTATCTATCTATCTATCTATCTATCTATCTATCTATCTATCTATCTATCTATCTATCTATCTATCTATCT